ATTTTTTAAGTTTTGAAATACATTTTAACGGACTAAATTCTATAAAATCTATAAAATTCTAAATTCTATAACTAAACCCAAAAATTATATTGTAATGTATAATATCCGTAAACATAACATTACATTACATTATTAACATAACAGTAAATTCAATTTCCTTAATTTTACTATAATCAAATAATTTACTTTATATCCAATAAAACAATATTAGTTCATTTTTTTTTACCGAAGTACAATAATGCTACTAAAATATTAGGGCATTCACATGTTGCTGCTCCACGAAATTTTTCGGCCGAAATGTTAGTCGCTAGCCGAGCATAAAATAACGAACCGGCCAAAATTTGTCTCTGAGAGCGCCGAGTGCAGGCAGATTATAAGACAAAGAAAGAGAGGGAACCTCCGAATATCTGCCTCTGTTGCCCGACCGTTTTCGTCGGCAGTCTTCTACAGTCGTCAACAGCGGCATAGCGTTTTAGGCACAAAAAAAAACAAAAAGCTTTTGCCTTCTGACATGTCACCCCGAGCCTACTCCAGAACTAAAGGGGATAGTCAGAAAGCAATGTTTAAACACATCAACGCAACTAATTTTTTTTTTTCAAGAAATTGAGCGCTTTCGGTTGAAAGGTCGAGAAATATACTTTTGGTCGTTTGTAAACACAAGCGTTAATATATAACTGATAATGACATTGACATATAATTTGGCCTAGTTGGCCCATAACAGTCCTGCCAACTCAAGAATAAGAGAACTAGCCAGAAACGTTAGGCCCGCGAACTTTAAATTGCAAATTCTTTTTACTTTTTGCTTACAGTTTTATATTCGAAACAGAAACCGAGTCGATATCATCTAATAATTTTTACAACCGAATGAATGAATATAACAGAAAAAATCATTACCAAATTAAGATACCAAAAGACGGTGTTAAGTAACAAATTTCGACTACCAAAAATAGACGACATTCCCGACCAATTGGGTAGAGCTTTTCTGATGTTAGTATTTTATCAAGTAGAACTTATATCAAAATATGTAACTTCCCTTTCTAAGAGCAATGGCTTCTATCGCTTCACGCGACTTCCTTATATTACAGAATGATGACAATTAGATTTTTCTGGTATTGAACCTTCCCAGGCTTTCTTGTATGTGAATGACCTAATTGTCATCGGATGTTCAGAAAAATATATGATCAATAACTTAAGAAGCTTTTTTTTTATTTATGCAGGGAGCACAACCTTAAACGGCACCCACGAAGTAACCTTTCTTAAACACAAGTGTACTTATAAAGGTTTTTTACAAGACTGCAAGAAATATGATGACATAGATATTTTCCGATTTGTATAACAACAGATGCAAGCAAACACGTATGTAAAGACATTTTAATCCAGCTACCAATAGCATATGTATCTAGATCATTCAGAAAGGAAAAAAGTAACAAAAACGCAACAGGACAAGAATTAACAGATATTTTCGACCATATATTTACATAACACATTTCAAATTCAAAAGAGATCATAGCTGATTAGCATACATTTTTCAATATCTAACCTGAGCTCAAAATGAACACGTATGTGACTAGATTTAGAGGTATGTGGTTTCACTGTGGAATATCTTAAGGGAAAGACAGCCATGTAACAAATGCATTGTCAAGAATAACAATAAAGGATCTAGAAACAAAAAAATATTGAAAGTCACTACCAGAATTCAAGGTAAACAGGAAAATCTATGCGCAGGAAAAGGAAGAAGTAGATTTGCAAAGGCAAGCTCTAAATAAAGCTTCTAGGCCCAACTTATTCAAGTATTTGTAAATTATGAGGAACGAAAAGTAACTTGGGAAAACAGATTAGATTTGCTTTCTTAAAAATAAAAAAAAGTTATAGCAAGAGTTTACGTAAGCGACATGTACACCAAATTGTTCTCGAAATGAGGCAGTTCTTCCAAAGGCTTGAAAAGGAAGCCGGCATTTTTAATGCACTAGCTTGCAAAATAATATTTTGAAAATGCCCCAAGTTTGCCCAAGGCAAACTCTAAACAAAGCTTCTAGGCCCAACTTATTCAAGTATTTGTAAATTATGAGGAACGAAAAGTAACTTAAGAAAACAGATTAGATTTGCTTTCTTAAAAATGAAAAAAAGTTATAGCAAGAATTTACGTAAGCGACATGTACACCAAATTGTTCTCGAAATGAGGCAGTTCTTCGAAAGGCTTGAAAAGGAAGCCGGCATTTTTAATGCACTAGCTTGCAAAATAATATTTGGAAAATGCCCCAAGAAGGATGATGTTAGTTCCAGATGGAGTTGGACCGCTGAATCACAAAAAAATGTATCACAAATGATGTTTTTTAGTAAGGAACTATAATATCATCTTTTAATATTTTCGAAGAAATTAACAGACCACATTCAATATATTGTGAGCTTCAACTCGGCAAACTTTGAAATTTTGTGAAATTTTTTAACGATTTAGTAACTGTAAGGTGTCTGTTGATATCGTAAAAACTGGAAAAAAATCCGACAAGAAACAGAGGTATGTATAATTTCAAAGCTACCGTCCAAACGAACCAAACAAGCCATATTTGGACCAATTCCATGGTAAAAAAGATTTAATTCTATTTATAATAGCTTTGCACCAACGTAAGGGGCTTACGAAGTATTGGAACCATCGTTTAACTTATTTAAACAAATAAACATATGATATGATAATATATATATAGAATCAAGCTTGTCTACAATAGGTATAGCCATACCATTTGCTTGCGAGCTCAGACAAAGCCGCAACGAGAAATCGTTTAAAGAATCAGCTAACCGAACCAAGCTTAAAAAAACCCAGAACTTCAGAGAACCACATTTTTCGACAGAGCTAGCTTCTGCTACTCAATATAAACTTTGGGCTGAATGTATATAGGTGTAGCTGGAAAAAGTTATGTACTAAAACATGCAGTATTTCCACGTTGGTTCCTATAACACTTATAAAATACTAGCTATATCCGCCTCGACTTCGTTCGTTTAAAATTAGTTTGGATCCTTTAGGAGCGAGAAATATAAGGCTACTGGCAGAACTAACTCTAGAGCATGCGACGTAAAATTGTCATTGAGAGAAGCAATCTTCTCTAAAATCTAGTCCAGCCAGCTCCATGGTCTGATATACCTGCGATATATTTGTAGTTACTGCAACGGCATATAAACACCGATTCCTCCTTCGCGCAACCCGTAAATACTGTTTCTTCAATTACATTCTAATGGAGACCTTTTATCTGCAATCTCGTCCCATTGCATAGCTTTGGGGAACTTAAATTTCGCAATAACATTACGGGTGCTTCAATCTTAAGAAACAGATTATGCTGCGGAATCACTGCTGGATTCAAAGGATTTAAGAATTCGACAGGGTAAGGATTGGCATTACCAACATCAGGGGCAAAATGGACCGATTTCGCGCTCAGATAACCAATCTAAGCTTTTACGTAATACGTTAGAAATGTCTGGAAATATTTTGGAGGTGAGGTTGTGTTTCACTTAATTTCCTAAGCGTGATGCTACAGCTTTTTTCCATCAACTGTTGGACGGACGGCATTTCCTATTTTTAAAAGTGTTTCGGTAAGAATTCCTGCTGAAATATCTGCTCTAAAGTATACTCGCATATAAATATAAAGATTTTAAGCAGGCCTTTATTTTATCAGCTACTGTACCTCTTGGCACTACATGAAGGGTTTGTCGAAAGTCTCCTGCTAGCAGGACTGTAATTCACCCCATCAACATACTATTCTCATTATTCTATTATTGCTTCAAGCTCACCTTTATGTGACATGGTGCACTCATCCCAAACAATCAACTTACAATCTTTAAGCACAGCAGCCATAATACATTGTTTTGAAATAGAGCAATGAGGAATTTCTAAATTAACTAAATCCAAAGGAAGTTTGAATGTAGAATGAGCAGTTTGACCTTTATTGAGCAGGGTAGCAGCGATACCAGCACAGGCTACATCAAGGTCTATTTTTTTTTAATTTTGAACTTTTGGCAACAGTAATTTTATCAGGAAGTTTTATTTATTATTGTAAACGTCTATTTGCTCGTCTGTAAGCAATTTTTCGTTGTTGGTAAGGAGAGTGTTGTTATTTTCATAACTTCTTCTCTAAGATAATCGGTATTATTTTCTTCCAATTCGACTTCAGGAATATTTGGTTGAGGAAGACCACATTCATTAAGACATATTCCACCAATAGACAATTCTAAATGTTCAATGCTTTTTACGCATTTGTTATAAACTTTTCCCATAATTTCGTCATTAATGTCACATGTTAAGAGCATTTGTAATGAATGAAGTATATCTTTCGATAAGTAAGTCTTGTTCTTATTCCAAAAACCTAAATAAGCTGACAATAAACTAACACAATTCCGAACAGATCACGTACATTTTTTGGAACTTGACAATCGCTATCTTCGGCCAAAGTTTTGTCGCAATGATTATTATCCTCAAGTAAGCTGTGTATTACGCCATGTATGGTTTTGCAATACAAAAACGAAGTTGGACCTCGTACCTCATGGAGTAACAGCCTAAGAAAATAATTCAGTGTTGCCCAAAGCAGAATCCTTTTTAACTCCAGAAAAATGAGGTACGTTACTGCCGCGTTTTCTTCTAAGAAACTTTATATTGTTCCATAAAAAAATAAAAGAGTTCTGGCGGATTCATCATTTTCACAAAGTTCAAAGAAAGCGTGAAGTGTAGAATTCGAAGGAGTGTTTATCTTCTTAGCTAATTGATTCGAATCATTTGGATTTGGATGGCGCTGGTCATGTTCTAAATCAGTGGTCGGCAGCGGCCTATCTAGTGAGCATTGGGAAGTGTTCTGCCCATCATCTGCTCGCTCACGTATAACGTACATGTTCGAGTGATTTCGGCATGGGTCTTCGGGTCATTTTTTTCTCAACTTCGGCGCGCTTTTTTGTTGCTGCGGCAGAGGATCTCAGTGCAAAGCAGAGAAACGTCTCGCTTCAGCACGCCGCGCGCAAACTTCGTGTTTGTTACACTCACACTAATGTAAGGCAAACTTGTGATGGTATGTGTGTGCCGACCACTGTTCTAAATGTACCGACAGTTGCATAACTGTTGAAAAGCGTTCGTGTAAATGGAAAGCAAAAATTCTCCACACGGCTTCCAAACTGCTTGTCTCCCATTTTCATACGTTTTACTTCATTTCGTTGGTCTTCATGGGAAAATGAAGCCTGATCGCTGCCTTTATTAAGGTATTTGCCAACGTATTTTATAGATTAACAGAAATGCAAGTTTCAACATCTATGTGTGCTTCCATTGCACGCAATAATACTAATTTATTTGACACAACCCAACGATTTTCTAAAATATTACCATTCTTTTCAACAGTACAGCCACCATCATCTGAAGCCCTCCTTCGATACAGGGGATAACTATTAATTCCTGTTACTTCTTCTTTTGAAAGCTGACGGGGACACCTTTTTTAACATTTGTCGTCATTCATGCACGGGGAACCACGGTTTAATATTCCGCAAGGTCCATGAATCATATTGGACTTTACGATGTTATGTAGCACGGGACCTTCTTGTGGATCCAGAATTTCTGCATGTATTATTTCGTCTATTTGATCTGATTTTTTACCATTCTACAGTGTACATAAAGCATTGACAACTGTAACAATGTTACAAACAATTCGCCCTTGAATATAAGGGCCTTTAGTGCTTTAACTTTGAAATGAAACACTCGTGCTATTATATCATGGTGGTCATGGGCTATCTGACCTGGTAATAATGACTGAATGTTATAAATAAATCAGGACGGCCATAGTGCAAGACATATGTCATAGCATCCTGAGTTTTCTCATGCAAATATCGTGGAGAACTCGTGAATGAAGATGGTAAAATAACCATTAGGCCCAGCTGAGCTGGATTTACATCCGTCTACTTAAGGCGTCTTTAAGATGAATACACGTAGCTATCAGCCCTAAGTTGCTCCTGATTGTTTTGAATACAATTTAGCCGTTCTATTTCAATTTAGGCAAACATATCGCCAAAATACTGACTATAAAGCACTTTGTAAACTATTAAATGATTTTCTCACTCCAAAAAACGGATTTGTGGCCGTCCTCTAATACTTGCGATCCCATCATTGTTAAATCTATGAAAATACATATAAGCTTTTGAGATAGCTTATAAATGCTTCATTAATGAATGTGATTAAAGTAACAGTCTATCTACTCATATATATGTATTTACATTGTACATATGTGTGTACACTAGTGCGTCCCAAAAATGAAATTTTGTTCTCACCCTATGGTTGATAAAATACTGAATAAAATGTTTTCAAAAATTTAAATTTGTTTTTATTAAATGCTAAACGTCCTCAAAGTATCATAAAAATTACTTATACAACATGTATACCAACCATTACTGTTTTCAAAAAGATCGATCAAAAGATCTTTGTCAACTCTCGTATATCGGTCAATATTAATAAAAAAAAAATTACGAAAAACGCCGACATTTTTTGAAGGGAAAACTAAATTCAGAACTAAACAACGGACTTTTCATCTTTCTGATACAGCTATATGAAAAATATATATTGGACTAAACACAACAGTGGGTATGAGCTATAAACCTTAAGAACAATTCGCAGATCTAATACCCCCTTCCCATAGAGTCCATCCGTTCGAAACGGTTGGGATTTTTGACAAATGGGAAACTACGATTCCCATAGGCCACATTCACCATCTACCATCCGATAACAGGTAATCTGAACCCCTGTGGCTAATCAAACCAAACCTGTTGCTTCAGCACCTTCCATTTTCAAATGTGAGACTCCGATTCCCACAGAGCACATGTACCATCTACCACCCGATAAGAGCTGATCCTGCTAGTCTCACCAAACCTGTTAATTCTGCGCATTCCATTTTCGATTGATCACTGTCATTATTGTTTACGTTTTCGTTGTGAATGTTTCAATTTCCACTCTCAAGAAGAAGACCTCAGAGTTGCACCGATAAAAAACTAACTGGGAAATTTTCGGAACGGCAAAATCTTATGGACCATCCGTTCAACGGATGGTAGATGGTTCTCTGTGGGAAGACGCTAAATAAGGTGTTGTATTACGATTTCAGTCAGAAGTATGCAACGCAGTGAAGGAGACGTTTCCGACCCCATAAAGTATATATATTCTTGATCAGCATCACTAGATTCGTTTAAGCCGTGTCCGTCCGATTATACGCAAACTAGTCTCTTATAGTTTTAAAGCTATCGGGCTGAAACTTTCCCAAAAGTCTTCTTTCTTTTACAGGTAGTATATAAGTCGGAACCAGCCGATTGGGGATAACTATATCTTATAGCTCCCATGGGAACAATCAGAAGAAAATTATATATCTTTGGTGTTTTTTTATGAATTGAATTCATAACCCACTGTAATGATGGCTCTTTGCTAAATTCATGAGACTTTGGAAAATTTTAGAATCTACGAACACATGTATGTAAGACGGTTTAGTAAGATAACCAGCAGAATTAAAAGCAGAGCGACAAGAGAAACCCGACCGATACTTTAAGAAAAGCCGAAACGCGGAAAATATCCTGCAATTATTATTGTTAACCATAATACTTAATATATATCATTATAATAAACGTCAAGTGAGAGTATTTCTCATCTTACATTTGGAGGCTCGTCCTAACGCAAAAATTGCAAGTGACGCCGTTCCGAGAAGTCTCACCGCCTTCTCGGAAAGTCAGTAACGGGGAATGAGTGTAAGCGAAAAGGAAATAAAGAAAGAACCTTCGAGAATACCAATTTCAAAAGGAAAACAGCCGTATTACACAAGATCAGTGGCTGCAGCAGACAAAATGAATAACATGAGTGAGCTGGCAAAAAGCGTTTGCGAAATAAGTGCAGATGGAAATCTAAAAGAAATTAAAGGAGTGCAAGAACTTCCGAAATCAGCGGAGAGGAAAGTGGAGCTGCCGGTTTAATTGAAAGCCGCTCTATCGACGAAAATACAAGAACCCTGAAAGACCTGGTTCAGCTGCTTGCTATTAAGATTGGACCGGATGAGCGAAACAACAGTTGCTCGATTACGGCTGAAAGCTTTGCGAAGATCATTCCAGAGTTTGACGGAGAGTCTATACCGGTAAAGAATTGGTTTGACAATTTTGAGCTAAATGCTGCGGCGTACGGTCTAAACATAAAACAGATGTATGTGCAGGCTCGTGCCAAAATGACGAACACAGCAAAGTTGTTTTTGGATTCTACGTACGTACACGAATACTCAGAGATGCGTATGCTGCTGGAGACTGAGTTCAGCCGACAATATGTAATACCTATTGCAGATGAAAAAGATTGCTTCACTTGACAATATTGATGCACGCTCGGTTATCCGCTATGTTGTGGACGGCGTAAACATGAGGAGCGATTTCAGATACTCTCTCTACAGTTGCAAGTCCTACAAAGAGCTACAGGAGCAGTATGAGGTGTTCGACCGCGTGGTCGACAAGCCGTACAAGCAGAACGACGGAAAGTGGGCGTCGAACCAGAAGAAGCAGCACGATTTCAACGACAGGAAGAGTCACTGCTTCAATTGTGGGCAGTAGATCATCTCCGCAAGGATTGCAAGTCTGCCGTGAAATGCTTCAGTTGCAACAAAGAGGGGCACATGTCAAGAGATTGCCCTGGGTCAGTTGCTGGAGTCCAAGTCGTACGCAGTGCAAGTCGTATGAAAATGGTTAGCATCAATCACGTGGAAGTGGAGTGTCTTGTAGATACGGGAGCCGATGTATCTATTCTGCGCAAGTACACTTCAACAAAATACCAAATGTTATTTTGGAGAGATGTGCGTCCAAGCTTCGTGGGCTGGGAAATAAGGTTACGTGCCCAGTTGGCTACTTTTTGACTGAGGTTGCAGTAGACCAGGAAATGACGCCACACAAGTTCGTCGTAGTCGAGGATGAGGACATCGAGTATGACGCGCTGTTTGGATTCGATTTCGTCTCGAAGTTTGACTTTTCGCTGTCGGCCGACGGATACAAGTTTTCTTCTCCGCTGGGGGAGAAAGCTTGTAAGGAACCAAACCAGATGAGTATTTATAACATAATTAATACAGATGATGAAATAGATGTTCCTTCGCAGTATGCTAAGGAGGTGTCTCAGCTGATCATGAACTACAAAGCGGCGGATTCGGTAGCAGAAGTGCCAGTCAAGCTGCGAATCGTCCCGGATGGGGAAATCGTCCCATTTCGTCAATCCCCAAGTTGATTTGAGATTGCCGAAGAGAAGGATGTCCAAAAGCAGATCGACGAATGGTTAGCTGCTGGAATCATTCGCCCATCTACATCTAACTTTGCCAGCCGTCTTGTACTGGTGACCAAAAAGGATGGCACACGGCGTATTTGCGTTGATTTTCGCAAGCTGAACTCAATGGTTTTGAGAGACTGCTTTCCTGTTCCGTTTATCGACGACGTTCTGCAAAAGCTGCAAAAAGCAAGGTTCTTTACTGCGATGGACTTGGAGAATGGTTTCTTCCGAGCATTACAGAATTCATTACTAAATACGGATTGTACGAATTTAATAGAACCCCGTTTGGATTTCGGAACTCGCCAGCAGTTTTAATTCGCTACGTAAATTATGTATTCCAAGAGCTGATGAACAGGGATGTACTAGAAACTGCAGAGCAATGTTTGGAGAAGATGAAACTGGTATTTAACACAGCTGGAGCGCTTGGCCTGAAGATAAAGTGGCGAAAATGTCACTTTTTGCAGAAGAAGATTTATTTTTTAGGCCACAACATTGAGGACGGAAACGTAAGAAAAGACAGCTGCGGTCAGCAAATTTTCGGTGCCGAAAAACGTCAGAGCGGTTCAAGCGTTTTTAGGGCTGTCTGGATTTTTCAGAAAATTCGTACTGAATTATTCGCAGATTGCACGCCCATTAACTGACCTGCTGCGAAAAGATATTTTCTTTCGAATGGCCGAGCCGCAGATGAACGCATTCCAAAGTTTGAAGGACGCATTGACGAAATAACCCGTTTTAAAGTTGTATATCAGAGGAGCCAAAACAGAGTTACACACGGATGCATCAAAAGATGGATTTGCAGCGGTCTTAATGCAGTGGTTCGACGGCAGACTCCATCCAGTACAATATTGGAGCAAGAAGTCATCAGAAGCTGAGTCCCGCAGGCACAGTTATATCCTTGAAGCAAAGGCCGTTTATCTAGCTGTAAAGAAATTTAGACATTACCTGCTGGGATCGCCATTTAAGCTGGTAACGGATTGCTCTGCATTTAAGCCAACCCTACAGAAGGCGGATGTGCCAAGAGCAGTCACGCATTGGATTGTTTATCTACAGGATTTCGAGTTCACAGTGGAACATCGCCCTGGAGAACGGTTGAAGCATGTTGACTGTCTCAGTCGCTATCCCGACCGTGTGATGCTCGTACCCTCGGAGATCACAGCTCGGATCAAAGCCGCACAAGGAAAAGACGAGATGCTAAAGGCAATTATGGAAATTCTGTCCAGCTGTCCATATGAGGGCTACAAGATGAAAGCTGGACTTGTTTATAAGGAGGTGAAAGGCAACGACCTCCTCGTGATCCCGAAGGCGATGGAAAAATAAGTTATTGTCGACGCCCACAGTGCAGGTCATTTTGCATTACAGAAAACTGTTCACGCTGTTCAACAATTGTATTGGATTCCTCACTTAGAACAGAAGGTTCAGCAGGTGGTGAACAACTGTGTGAGATGCATAATTTTCAACAAAAAACTTGGCAAGAAAGAAGGATTCTTAAGCTGTATTGATAAAGGTGACCAACCCCTTCACACGCTGCATGTTGATCATCTAGGCCCCATGGATGCCACTGGAAAACAGTATAAGTACATATTTGCGATGGTGGATTCATTCACAAAATTTATTTGGCTGTTCCCAACGAAAACTACAAGCTGCGAGGAAACGTTGAAGAAGTTAAGGATTTGGTCGAAAATGTTTGGCAACCCTGTGCGGATAGTTTCGGACAGAGGCTCCGCTTTAACGGCCAACTCGTTTGCAGAACATATGAAGGAAAACGGAATCGAGCACGTTTGGAGCACAACCGGAGTTGAAAGGGTGAATCGCACAGTTTTATCCATTATTTCAAAGATTTCGGTAGATGAACCAGCCAAGAGGTTTAAAGCAGTGCCGGAGGTCCAGAGAGCGGCTAATTCCCTCGTACATGCGTCAACTAAAAAGTCACCATTTGAGCTGCTTTTTGGCGTGAAGATGAACAATTAACCAATGGATCGTATTCTACAGCTTTTGGAGGAGGAGATGTACTTAAATTTTGACGAACAACGGCAGCAACTGAGAAAAGATGCAAAGATTGAGATTCAACGCGCACAGGAATCATATAAAAAGAACTTTGACCTAAAGCGGAAACCGGAAGTCGACTATAAAGTGGGAGACCTAGTCGCTATACGCCGCACACAGTTTGTTGCAGGAAAGAAGTTGGGGGGAGAATATATGGGACCGTACGAAGTTTCAAGTGCCAAGAGGAATGGCAGATACGAGGTTCGGAAGGCAGGAGACTTTGAAGGCCCATC